TTCCTGTATATACTATATATACGCTTGTAAAACAACACTGTGGCTTCCTGTATATACTATATATACGTTTGTAAAAAACAACACTGTGGCTTCCTGTATATACTATATATACGTTTGTAAAACAACACTGTGGCTTCATGGACATACTATATATACGCTTGTAAAACAACACTGTGGCTTCCTGTATATACTATATATACGTTTGTAAAACAACTCTGTGGCTTCATGGACATACTATATATACGTTTGTAAAAACAACACTGTGGCTTCATGGACATACTATATATACGCTTGTAAAACAACACTGTGGCTTCCTGTATATACTATATATACGTTTTGTAAAAACAACACTGTGGCTTCCTGTATATACTATATATACGTTTGTAAAACAACACTGTGGCTTCATGGACATACTATATATACGCTTGTAAAAACAACACTGTGGCTTCCTGTATATACTATATATACGTTTGTAAAAACAACTCTGTGGCTTCATGGACATACTATATATATACGTTTGTAAAAACAACACTGTGGCTTCCTGTATATACTATATATACGCTTGTAAAACAACACTGTGGCTTCCTGTATATACTATATATACGTTTGTAAAAACAACACTGTGGCTTCCTGTATATACTATATATACGTTTGTAAAAACAACACTGTGGCTTCCTGTATAAACTATATATACGTTTGTAAAAACAACACTGTGGCTTCATGGACATACTATATATACGTTTGTAAAACAACACTGTGGCTTCCTGTATATACTATATATACGCTTGTAAAAACAACACTGTGGCTTCCTGTATATACTACTCTATATATAATGCTTGTAAAAACAACACTGTGGCTTCCTGTATATACTATATATACGTTTGTAAAAACAACACTGTGGCTTCCCTGTATATGCTATATATACGCTTGTAAAAACAACACTGTGGCTTCCTGTATATACTATATATACGCTTGTAAAAACAACACTGTGGCTTCCTGTATATACTATATATACGCTTGTAAAACAACACTGTGGCTTCCTGTATATGCTATATATACGTTTGTAAAAACAACTCTGTGGCTTCATGGACATACTATATATACGTTTGTAAAAACAACACTGTGGCTTCCTGTATATACTATATATACGTTTGTAAAAACAACACTGTGGCTTCCTGTATATACTATATATACGTTTGTAAAAACAACTCTGTGGCTTCATGGACATACTATATATACGTTTGTAAAAACAACACTGTGGCTTCCTGTATATACTATATATACGCTTGTAAAAACAACACTGTGGCTTCCTGTATATGCTATATATACCTCTGTAACTATTGACTGCCATTCACCTGATGAAGGGGCAAGTATAAACCCAGAAACGTCGTGTGTAAATGATAAAGAAATTGCACATCCATATCAAGTGTGTTGTATTACCCTACCAACTTCTAAATGCCTATCAAACATCCTTGAATAATGTATTTCAGGAAATAACCTATGTTTTTTCATTGATGATTCAACCATATCTGACATCTAGCCACTACAACCTACTCTGCTCTGGATCTGGCACTCACCGATTCCACCATGTGTGAATTTGAATGGATGGCCCATTATGACCTGTGTGGGAGTGATCACTTCCCCACCACTCTCCAAACTATCAGCCCTGGTAATGATCCACCTTTATCGTGAAGGAACGTCACTCATTATATGAGTTACTATGTACTGATCACTTATAACATGATGTTTTCACAAACAGTGAAGATCCGGTACAGTTGTTCTCAGATATACTTAACGACATTGCTGAAAATTCCTAAGTCCTCTGCAAATCCACATATTCGTAAACTATGGTTTAATAATGAATGTAAACCGACCAGAAAGTGTAGGAAGAAAGCTGAAAAAAAATATTTTTGCATATTGCCATAATCTAGATGCAGTTAAAATTACTGATGCCAAGGCTCGACGCGCTTTTAAACAAAGTAAGCCTCAGTTTTGGAACTAAAATAAATTTTTAAAGAAATCCACGTAAACATGTGTTAAAGGTCTGGAACATGATACAAGGAATAAAGGGCAGAGGTTCAAAATCTACCGCTCACCATCGGAAGTACGGTGATAACTTATTAACTTAAAAACCTGACATAGCTAATGAAATTGGCGAAATTCTTGCCAAGCATTCTTCATCATTAAATTATGACCCTGAGCTTTAAAAATAACAAAAACAACCGGAGAAATAAAATTCATTTTAACCCAGATAATGGTGAAGACTGCAACGGATTGTTTTCGTTACATGACCTGGCGCCATACTGCCCTTGAGCAAGCTCATGATACAGCATCAGGGGTTGATGAAATCTACTATCAGACCCAGAATACAGCTAAATGTTTTTGATACAATATGGACATCAGGGATTTCCCGCACTCGTGGCATACTGCCATTGTAGTCCCTATACCTAAGCCTGGATGGCATCATACTGATCCATCTAATTACAGACCCATATGTTTAACGAGTTGAATCTGTAAAACAATGGAGCAGATAAATTTAACAGATTACTTTGGTATCTGAAAACCAGTAACTTAAATACTAATATACGAGGTGGTTTCCGGAAAACTTGTAGTACTATTGGTCATGTAGTACGATTGGAATCCTTTGTAAAAGAATGATTTTATATCACATTTTTTTAAACAGACAATTTCAAGTGCGAGTGGGTTCTACCCTATCTGATCGTTACAATCAGGATAGGGGTGATCCACAAGGCAGTATTATGACTGTCACCTTATTTAGTGTTAAAATAAATAGTCTTTCAAAGGTTTGAGCTGATTTAGTAGATGGTTTAATGTTTGTTGTTGTAAAAATGCGCCTGCAAAAAAGAGACAGCTGCAACTCTGTCTCAATAATATTCACAATTGGTCAATTGAAAACGGTTTTTAATTCTCTAAATCAAACAATAATTGTATACATTTATAAAAACCATAAATTAAAAATGCATAAAGACCCAGAACTATTGAAAATGGCACGTCCATCAAAGCTGTTAAGGAGGCCAACTACTTAGGACTTTAAGAAAAACTCTAATTTGCCCTTTTTACCACATATCAAATACCAAACATCGATCATTGGTCCGCTTCAAACTTGATTATGGCTATATCGTGTATGGTGGAGCCTAAAAAGCAACATAAAGCTTTCAGATTCTGTCCACCACGTCTAAGACCTTGTCTTGGGTCTTTAGAACTTATGCTATTGACAGCCTCTATCCCGAGACCGATAAGACGAGTGGAGATCCGGGTTAGAACTGATCTTCAGTAACCCATGCTTGTTGTAATAGGCGACTAACGTAGATGAATACTCATACTGTTGATCACTGGATTGTCTGTTCCAGACTCGATGATTTACAGACCGCTGCCATATAGGTGCAATGTTGCTGAGTGCGGCGTAAAACTAAACTCACTCATGAGACCGATGAGCCATCTCTTAACCAATGCCGTATAAAATATTCCTTACAGTATATCACAAAACTACATTCTAACGAGCCCAACCCTTCATTTTATCGTCTTTATCCTCTTTATCAGGATCTGTACAACAAGAAGTTGTCTCTTATTCCACCTCCAGGAATAAGAATCAAACCTTTTCTTTCTGCTTCTGGCATTGAGCTTGAGTGAGTGACTGAGTTAAAATTTAAAGTCACATTGGCAACATGTCAGCCATATCGTGACTAGAACTAGTTCTAAATTAATATATATAAACCCTGTCAACGAAGGACAGTAAACGTACTAGATTATCACAAAATGAGTTAAGACTAGCTATCTTTAAAAGTAGAAAACTATTTTTGGACAATACGATGTAAAAATGGGCTATAGATCGCCAGCAACTGAAGGCTGATCACCATGCCATGGACCATGGGAACTTACAGTACATTGGCTACCTGCATGGACCCTAGCTGGATTTACACCATCCCTTCAGCCACTGGTGATTGTAGTGAAATTTAGCCATTATTTAAAACAACAATTATTCTACGATTAAAATAATTTTGTAGGTCGAAATTCACTTTGAAAGTTTTGGGACTTACGCACCCTCTCAGGAGGACAACACTTTTACTCTACTAATATTAAAAAGAAACTATCTGCACAATATCAAAATTTATCAATCAATTCAATTTCTTTTAAAAATCCAAGGATTAAATGAGGAGCAACGTAATTAAAAAGATCCTTCATTGTTTTCACATCGAAATATTTTCCCTTGTGATGGCAAAATCAATACAGTCAAGCAGGCATTGAGCCAGAAAATATACCTTCTTCCCGTCAGCTTTCTTCGCCTCCTTGGAAACTGGTGAGACCACAAGTAGACCTGATACTTGCCACATTCAAGAAATCAGAAACCAACAAATTACAGTCTGAACAGGAATTTAATCAATTAAAAAGTAAATATAATACATACAAATCCTTATATACAGACATATCCAAGGATGGTGGCGCAGTGGCTTGTGCCATCGTCATTGGGACGAGAATAATATCCTCCAGATTACCAGATTGCAGCATGATATTTACAGCAGAAGCAAACACAATACTAACAGCTCTTAAATACATTAACAGACACACTAAATATAAACAATATAGCATCTTGTCGGGCTCTCTTTCGTGTGGAAAGGCTATTCATAAGGTATCTCATAAACATCAACTTTTAATTGAAATCATTGAATTATATTATGATCTTGCTAGTAGCCAATACGACATCATCCTCTGTTGGGTACCCAGCCACGTTGGCATTTCTAGTAATACAATGGCCGATTTCGCTGCTTAGGCAGCATTCAACAACTCGTCTTCTCATCTCTATCATTAAAGTACTCACAGAAATAGAATTTTTTTACGTATATTTCGTCGTTTTGAACACAACTAAAATTTGATTGTTAAATATTCTATGACTATCGTTACCACCAACGCTGTAACACTCTTTGTAACATCATCCAAAATAGATGAAATAGTTTACAGGAGAGCAAATTGTGTCATTTTTACACCTTCGAAATCAAAATGTATGTTTCTGATGCAAGCTACAGTATGCAAATGAGATGTACTCTCCATAGGTTCGCGTACATAATATTCTTTTATGAAAAAGTCATATACCATTCATCCTTTACTTCTTGTATCCTAATTGATATTTAGAATAATTGATTTTCTCAGAACTCTTGTTGAAAGTTTACGTATACTATATTTACGAGTCTATTCATGCATTTGATTGTCAATTGGACAACGGCTATGACAAAACACGAGCAAATGCATCTTCCCGTCTAAACAGTGCTGCGGGTAGTTGTTACCACCCGTTGTTGAATGCGACGTAAGTAATAACATGTTTCTAAACTTGTTGATAATATGCAATTTTTTGTTATATTATCTGTAAAATGGTATTTTGGATGATAATTAGAGGACTAAATTAAAAGCCCTAGTTGGGAAAAACATAGTTCTTAAAATATTTGTTAAAGCTCTATCTTAAATAATGTATAAAACAAATAAACGCTAAACACCATTGTATTTCTAATTCCGTGAGTACTTTAGTACTTACATCCGTGATCTGAGGCAGAAAAAATGGGACACCCAGGGAAGTATCAATAAATTACATGCAATAAAACCTTATATTGGTTAAATTTACTTGGGTTGTCAGTGGATCCAATGACAGTTGGACTGATTGGTTCAAAGTCTTGAATGAATGAATTATACTCATAAAGCCGCAGATTTTGCACTTAGTTACCTTTATATTTATGTTATTATCTACGGCCTACATACTGCTAATTACTCACTGGAATGTTTTGAGAAGTTATTTTAAAAAAAAACCACTAGAATACAAACAATACTAGCCCAACCTTTCCATCACCTCAACAAAAATAACAAAAATAGAAGGAAACAATAAACAATGGCAACACAAATACAAGCATAACATAGTCACGTGCTTTTTAAAAACCACAAGTGCACGTATAGAGATAAACGATTTTACATGCGCAACAGGGGAGAAAGTAACATAGTCCATGTTCGTATGGACATGGTTTTGATTTGGGAAAGTTGCCTTCTTTTGAAGAAAGTACTGCATTTCTACCAGGGATCATATATTGGTTTACAATCTCTGACACTACTGAATAGTAATATTTTTATGACGCGTTAACACAGGGACAAATCAGTCTCCATATTTTGTGGAAAGAGATTTCATTGGTCGCAAGAGGTCACTACGAATAGATCAACAATACTCAGCATTGGCATCAGGTATTCGCCAAATGGGTAAACATGTCCTTGATTACCCGTAGCACATGCCGCTCACGCAATCTAGTGACACGATGGTGCATTTACTGATGTTGTTGAAACTAAAAACAATATTTTAATTTGAAATTTCATAGGTATAATGTTGAATTATAAAATTTCGAGGTTTAATCAATTGCATTTGTACACCTTATTTTTGATAAAGAAAACGTAGGGAGACATGGTCCGGTGACATCAGTTCGTGAATACTGGGGTGATTTTTTCCATGAATGTTATATTGTCCTGGCGCTGACTGTCATATTGCCTCTTGTAGTTATCTTCAGCAGGTCCCCATTCTCGTCGCGGGCGTAACAAATACTGTAAAGAAACCCACCAAACACACTTAATTCTGTTCAACATGACACATATAGACCAACAGAAAATATATTACTTTCGGCTCAGTAGTGTCAACAGAAGGATATTTGTGCAAAGGAAACATGCATATTAGAGATTGCTAAACATCATTATAATACAACTTCTCTACAATATTAAAGCCATGAAGGATATCACAGTTAAGTTTCAGCCGACGTGATTTGGAAAATAGCTCTAGATGCTCCTTAGGTGTTCTCAAGCCACATGGACAACGACATTCCAAAATAAGTTCATGCACGCACACCGAAACAGGATAAAGAAATATCCCGGGTACAGGGGCATGCAGTTGTTTGAGTTAGTTTGGTGGGACTTGAGTTCAATGTACGTCAATGGCTTAGAATATTTCTAAACAAAGAGCCTGATAACCACCTGTATTAAGTTCAAGTTCTTAAGATGTATCGTTGGACTACGCACCTAAAGACGCCCCAACTGATATTGTGTTGATCACCCAAACAATTACAAGCTTCGTTCACCTAGCTTCATTCAAGACAGAATCATTACCTGAGAGGAAGGGACAAGTGCCAGCAATACAAACACGGCTACTAGTGCCAGTGGAGCCAGCGCTATGAACCACCCCATTACGTGGGCCCACACTGGATAACGGATCTCTCTTGAATCCATGGCGTAGAACGATGGAGGAGTGTAATTGACAAAGGATATCACCTGGAAAATCTGAAAGAAGCAATTACAGTTGTAAACATTTGAAGTTCACACGTTACTTCGTTTAATGGTGATATATGATTTATCTCAAGATACTATATATCGGGATATAACATTACCAGGAAGACGGGCGGAAGGATGAAACACCAGATGAACTTGATGACTATTGGAGGTGGAGTGCCAGTCATCATCTCAATATCCCTGACCAGCCGACCCATGCCTGAAAATGTGGATGAGGTTGAAATGGCTATAAATGATTCAATGATGTGACACAACAGACCGATATGAACAGAGCAATGTTTCAATTAATTGATAAATAGGTTAAAATACAGTTTGCATACTTGGCTACGACGTGTTGCATTTTCTCTTTAATGACGTGGATGACGTGTGATGGAACAGTTCTGCCTTTCAAATTTATTGATGAATCTTTCAGCAAATAGAGAATGTAATGAATAAGATGAATCCTAGGATTTGAACGGGGATTGTAATGGTTTCATAGTGGAAGGGCCGTCAGCATTATGATTAATATAATACACACACATAGCTAATATTCAAAAATGTCGTCTTCAGTGTGTAATGATTCAAAACATGAAGAAACCATGTATGTAACAACAAGAACAGTATAAGTCGCTGTACCATACCGTATATCCATCCAACTGTAATGAATTGAAGGATACCAAGAATATATATTGACACTATATATAGGTAAGAGTCAACCAGTGTCATCAAAATAACCCCTCCCTGCAAACAGAAACGGTTCAGTTACTCTTATATCATTCGAATTACGAACATGGAATTATACATTGCATTTTAATATATAGATAATACAGAAGTCATATATATGCCATCCATAGATGAGGTTAATATAAACAATGAGATGGAGGTTTTATTAACAGTGGTCTTACTTTAGCCAAATATGGAAGCGTCAGCAGGAGGGTTGCAATGCAGGTAACCACAGTAACCATGATTCTTATCATGCGAGATCGGCGTGGCAGGCTGTCAACTACAGCTGTGATGATCATGTCTGCATATACAAACTGAAACAGGAGATTTTCATATTTTTCATTAGCAACAGAACAGAGTATGCTAATACAGGACCGTAACCCCACATCCTTAAGGGTGTTCATGGCGTTACATTATATCCATGGTCAACCTATCAATGGGCATTCACACTTAATGGTGAATACACAGGTACCTGTGTTATATTCTGGAAGGTCGTCTATTGACAGGAGCATGTCGTCCACCTTAGTATCCGTTCGCCATTGGCTAGAGCACTATTTGGGCTAAACATTGCTTCAAAATGTTGCTCATCCATTATTTCTTCATCAATGTCGCTTTATCTTACACGGTTTGTTACCTTTGGCCTATGCACCGATTGCCAAGTACGTTTGCAAGTCTTTATCAATAAACGAATTGACTATCCATTCGTAATTTGATGATATATAAATAGTGTACATTGTTAGGGGCACAAAGTAAACCGTCATTATAGGTCCACAATTCGACAAAATATTTTGACTGTCTGCTGATCAATTCAAGTTCAGCATTGACGTATTATGTTAAAACAAATTGGATTAATATTGCTTAAATTTACCTGAGAATTCAATCCGACAAGAAGAAGAATAAAGAAGTAAGCAAAACTCCAGAACTGGGACGCCGGTAGATGAGGAACAGCTCCGGGAGCAAATCAAATGCGCCCCTGATGCCTGTTAACATAAGGTAGAGCTACACGTTTCTAATAACAGATTGCCACCATTCTCGATAAAGTTGTCAAAGTTGCATGAATCAATTTTAGCGTCGGGGAATATCATTTGTTAATTTATACTTATGACACTTAGGGCAAGAGTCATACGATCCAAAAGACAAAACAGTACGTTTGTGATTAGCTCCCTTCGAATGTTAAAGTCAGTATTGAGTTGACAGACACATTGTCTCTAGTCTGTAAGAAGTTAGAAATGAGATATTTTCTCCAGTTGTAAGAACAGATCTTAGCATAGTGGGATATTATTCATGTATCTGTGACCACGCTTATATAATAAGTTATATGATCAGTCCGAGACTCATGTCAGTATATATTTTAATCCTTGTCCATTGTCAATACAGACAAAATCTGTTTCCTAAATATTGAGAATCTCTACTAACATAAAGTATTTACGTTTATGTACAAGTGGACCTGAACAAGTTTGTTTGTTGTTCAAAGTTGCAGTCATCAATATTCCAGCTATAGGGACCAGGCAATGCAGTCTTCAAAATATGGAATGACCAATTCTCACCCGAAGAAGAAACAGATGTTGATTGATTGGTCTGATTCTGAGACTGATTATCTGTCACCACGCACCTGTTTATTTCAATTGTTTGCCTGACCTGACTCGGCTTATTCTTACATATTCTCTTGTTTCATATACCACACAGAAAGCGGCGGACACAAATGAGGACATGTGATCAGATTCTTCCTGTATCAGAACGTATTACCATGCTAATCTGGAGGACCGCGTAAGCATCTCCGGAAACACGCGGAAGTATATTATTGTTCATAATTCCTTGCTCTTCTTGATTGCGGATGTTGTTACCTACTCTTTGAGGCAACATAATAATACTGTATCAACTATACGGCTATTTCTGAAGAATTCCCCTCCATAGAACATGCATATCTGAGATGGAACAAACCCTACGACGGTAACCAGCTCGTAACACTGGATGAGTTCCACCAATCCCCTTGATAGACAGACAGACAGACAGACAGACAGACAGACATTTTATTCAGTAAAAGGCCACTGGCCCAAAATACATTCATAAACACATATATTAAATGAGTTTTACAGAAAAACATCAGAAGTTTTTTCTATTTTCCTAACAAATACAAATAGGCATAAATTATTTATAACATTTATATTTCTTGAAGACATTATATTAACAAAGCTGTGTTGTGATAGAGGGTGTGTTAAATATATATCTTGAAATGTATTAATTATATCTAAGTAGGCTTTACAATAAAGTAAAACATGTATTCATTTTCAATTAGATTAAGATTAATTCTTTTGTAAAAAGGACAAAAACTTCAATCAAGATTCAGTCTCGGAGCTAAGTTTAATATTACCACATCTAAATTTTGCCAAACAGTTTTCTTAAATATGGGGCAATATCTAAACTGAGATAAGTTTCAATATTAAGGAGGGACTTGAAAAGTACATAATAAGAACACTTGCTTGTATTAAGTAGGGATGAATACCAGTCTTGTATAAGATTATCAGACAATCTCTGCTTAAAGACAGAAATGAAACCATCAATAATATCTCCATCCTAGGAAATCCAAACAAAGCCAAACCCAATTGTAAATATAATATTCTAAATTATTCTTGACATGAGATACCCATGTCGTGCGTCCAGATTCATCCAAATACTTTAACATTAAATAGAACTGATGGGGTAATCTACAACTTGGAAGAGTTAAAAGTCGACAACAACATTTAACTGCCTTTGACCTACAAATAAACTGAAGAGGCAATCTGCCACATTCACCAAAAACCATATTGTAACAAGTATTTTTGTCAACTTTTAAGAAAAATGTACTCGTTTTTATGTACAATTGCATGGATCGATTTTAGCAAAGGGGAATATTATGCATGAATCTATATATGATCCGAAAGACAGAGGACGTTTGTGGTTAGCTCTCTTCGAATCTTAAGATGAATACTGAGTTGACAGGCACATTGCCTCTAGTCTTTAAGAAATTAGAAATGACATATTTTATATCAAGCGTCCACCCTAGAGTTGTGTATTGCTTTCCGTTACGCACTGTCAGTATGTATGTTAATCCTTATCCATTGTAAAAAAACCCCACAGAACGGTTTCCTAAATCTTGAGAAGTTATATCTCTGCTGTCATAAATTGTTTGTACGACAAGCATGCGTCGCCGCTGCCTCGCCTGAGTCATTATGGTTGGCGGTCACAAACTCTCTTTTGATCTGTCTTGTAAGTGGTAAGACAACATATCCTGTTGACAGGTGTGGGTTTGTCAGTGAATATTCTGTGTTAGTATTCCTTGATTAAAAACACAAGTGTACGCAAAGGTATACATCCTCTCAGTATTTGTACCCAACATACCTGAAAGTCCGACATTGTATATCGACGATTGTTTTGTGTTGGCCAGAGCCCCGGCGAGGCTCATCATCATCAAGGCTGCGAGCAAACGACCAACAGCACCGACACTGCATATTATAACGGAGTCCCTGAAACAACAATCATTCTGTCAAATGAGCGTAAAATGCAACTTCTCTACGTTTGCCTTAAATGACTGAGTGAGTATGGTTTTACGCCGTTTCAGCAATATTCCAGCAATGGACTTCACACATTCTACCCATGTGGGGAATCGAACCTCGGTTTTCGGCGTGACTTGCGAACTCTTTAACCACTGAACTACCCCGCCGTCCCAGTCTCAGATGATCGAAGAGACAATTTCTCAAATACTAGTCACCTTAACGCAGAGGATTTGAAGTGTCTGTAGCTTGCAAGATTGTTCACGAGTCCCGATGACATCCCAACATGGAGCATGGCCCAGAAGAAGGCCGACAACCAGAACTGAAATGGAATGATCCACTTGTACCATAATGACTAACACCACAGACCTGAACAGACAGAATATGTATTAGGTTGTGGTGGCACGAAAACAGCCACAGAATATACACTCAGGTAAAGTTTGTAGTTCTTGTGTCCAGAATGATAGGGTTACTGGACATCCGGATGTAGGAACGCAGTACCTGTCATATCCATGGATAATGGTACTAAAAAGAACTAACAAAACTGTTTTCATAATTATAAGGAATCGCAGCTCAAAGCAGATTTCATTGTAAGAATCCGCCTGAAGCACAGGCATGTGTAAATGTATCACTATAAAACATGGTTATACCTCAGTCGCTTTGTAGCGTGAATGGTAACCATGGAATTAAAACCTTTACACGCATCCCTCCAGGAAAAGGTGGAAACAAATTAACTTTCACTGACATGGTATCGTAAGATGATATTGTACGTTTTTATTCATGTAATTATATTTCTATTATGTTTAATTGTGCAAGTGTCATCGTCTTTTTAATTAGTCTATGTCCGACAATTATTTCCTCCAAAAAATGACCACTGAATGCTTCTTCTCAACAGTGATGACATCTGAATACATGCAAGACATTCAAATGTATTTAGCTATATTATAATTGTAAATACTCAGACGTGTTGTTTTGCATTGTAATGACACTCGATATTTGTACAACGACTAGTACAACGACCTTTGTGTATTGATTGGGGATCACGTACATGCATTTGAACCAATATTGTATCACAATGTGCCCTGGTTTCTGACCTCCTAGTTTGGCATGTATGTTTCTTTTATTGATAACATTGATCGGTTAGTATATATGTCGTTGTAACTGTAATTTCATTATTGTTGTGTTTGCCTTTTATATTTGCCGTTCATCATAATCGGTGTCTACCTTCAATTCCGTACATGTTACAGGAATAAAGTCACATTACAGGCTTAACACATGTCAAGAAATGATACTGTGTTTGGTAAAGTTGGTCTCTATCATTCCTTGGAGGGAAACGTGGAAAAAAACACAGGACCAAAAGCCGGATAGTAAACCATTGAAATAAACGTAAATAGAGTAGGAAATACCTGCCATGACCGGATTTACGTTTGTTTTCAGATATTTCCTAACTTCGGGCATATATTTCATATGAATCTATACCTTTGAAACATATGCTCATCGCTCATTTTCGTATGCACAAGCACCTCGTTCATGTATGCCCTGACCGGATTGTCAGGGATTTCCAAACATGAACTGCAAAACAGATACCCCGGTAAATAAAAGATCATACAGTATTTCCAATGCATTCCTTTGAATTTCAATGGGTGCTGAAATTTCCGATTTCGTTCTAAGTTTCCTCGGGTTGGAAAAATGTGAATTTACTTAGGTGGGGAAAAACATGTAAATTTTCAAATTTGTAAATATTTACACACCTTAGATATTTATGTATCATACCGGATTTCAGGGGTATGTATATGAACGGTTTATACACCTTCATCTTACCTGTACTCAAGCAAGATGATCATATGTTTCATTCATGTGAATTACTTGGTTCATGTAATTTCATTTTCACACATTTTAGTACGTTTGAAATCAACGTTCACATGACCTCAAAATTCTTATCACCTAAAGAGCCTGACAAAGAAAGCAGTATTACGCAAGCTCACAAGCCTTATCAAGCTGCACTCGTTCTTGTTTTCAGTATCAGTTACGCCTTGTCTGTGGTGTTGGCAAATCTTGTGAGGTGCATGTTTCGAGGGATTAAAAGGTTCAGTGGTGAACAAAGGGCGATGCGTTGCCCCTTTGTCCTCGCAAGTGTCCCTAGCTGTCCCAATAGAATAGCACTTTGTCTCTCTTGGAGCACAGCCAAATATCCTACACGAACCGAGTCGTAATTTCTTAAGTCTGTTCAGCTCGCGATCACTACTGTAAAATATTTTGTGGCAGTACATAATTGTAATATTATTGCACTGCATGTGACCTTCCTTAATAGTCTCACAGTGCCTGAACAATGTTATTTCTCCATTCGCTCAGCCTTTGCTGAAATAACGCCATACATAAACTTAAAGTTGTCCACATTTGTTTCACTAACGCAAAAGTATACGATAACAAACAATGCCATATCAAATTATATATTCTGTCAGACATGAAATGAAATATTGTTTTTATCGTGTAGCGATTATGACCGGATAGCACAGGCGGGTGCGTTCTCTGAGTATATTATAGGCATGTTGGATCTCCGTGCCTTTTGTGAAATTCGTCTATATTGTCCTGTTTAAATTTACGATCCATAACTCAGATTGCGAGTAAATATCACGTAAGAAATTGTGATGTCGCATTGCTGTAAATTTCCCTGTCGGAGAAGTCATTCTCACAAGAAATATATATTCCCTTTGTTTGGAGAAGATCTATGGCTATTACGCCCCAGTGTTGCTAAACATCTTGTAGGCCTTTAGTCTGACACAGACGCAGACCTCGCATATTCAAGTTCAGATCTGACAGGGGCTGAAAATATCATTCCGACATGAACACGATATCTCAGTGTTTTCCTAAGTAAGTGGAGTGCTTTCTACAACATTGGAAATAACTGTATCGTTGTCCTTCTGATATTCCCGGGGCGGTGGGGTAGCCTAGTGGTTAAAGCGTTCGCTCGTCACGCCGAAGACCCGGGTTCAAATCCCAACATGGGTAAATTGTGTGAAGCTCATTTCTGGTGTCCCCCGCCGTGATATTGCTGGAATATTGCTAAAAGCGGCGTAAAACCTAACTCACTCACTCACTCACTCACTCTGATATCCCCCAAACGGAAGCTCTACCCATTTAGGGTACAATGTGTAAGTTACAGAATTGTAGGGAATAGTCTTAAGACTTTTCTACTTTGACCAGGATTCTTCGAACTTGTAACAGTCGTTGGAGAAGATCAAAAGAGAGAAGGTTAGTGCGCGATGTATCTGACGGACGTATATGGAGAACGTTCAAAGAATTTTATAAATACAATAATAGAAATACCGGTTATGTTTAAAACGTACCCTCGATCTGATAGCTAGAGGGATTATTGTGAAAGATCGCAGTATTTATCATCATAAACGGGCCAAGATAAAAGTACATGTCATTCATCCCTACATTATATCCCTTTTATAGACACGGGACATCGTTGTTACAGGTAGGGCAAACACTTTCTTCTAAAGGTATCTGCTGGTTTCACGCTACATACATGTGTTCAGATTATCGAGAAAACTAGCTACGCAAGTTCTCCTCAATCACACCAAAGACCATATAATCTATCACACATATGATCACACATATAATTGTATAGATACCCAGTGTTTATCAGAATTTACGGCCGACAGTATCATCTGCATTAGTCACACAGGGTTGTCATGGTAACGATAATTTGGCAAACTATTCATTGTGTTATTCTTTAATCTGCGATTAGAATTTAAATCAGTTTTGACGTGAGCATGTTAAGAAAAGAGAAGCTGTAAACGAAATGTATTGTGATCGAACCTATAGGCCTTTGTAAAGCCACCTACATAAAAACCTGTTTTCATGATAAATATCTGCTAATCCTTGGCACGATTCCGACCATATCATGGGCATGTGTTTGTGAATCATAATAAAATAGTGATGTTACAAGGCATCCATGCCGCGTCAACAACACATGCAAACAGGGGCGTAGCTATCATTATAAAAAACAGCTCGAGCTTACACATGATCTTTGCATAAAAAATGAAAGTTGGGCAAGCCCTCAATATACCACCTATAATATAAATCTTTGCAGCCCATAGAGCTTACACGAACAAAATGGCTTGCTACGCGCCTGGCAAACGCACGAGAATTGCAATACGGGCCTCTAACCACTGATTCTTCGTGACCTGGAGACACATGTGACTGAGCGTATGTTGGGACGTCGTCTGTCACACAGACCCTGAAGCAAATATATCCAAACCCACGCAAGTCTACAAAATGTGGCAAGTCTAGATTTCCACAGCTTCTGGAGAAAGTCTCAGGACTATGATCTTTTTTTCGGTAACATATGTTCATATCAGAGACTAGTTGTTAATTTAGTTTTGACGGGTAGAAGACAAAAGACAAAATGGATACTAGTGCTGTTACATTTTTTTAATTATATATAAACATTCGTCCTTGTCTCGGGATGAATGTATACTTTCCACCAAATGTACATTCGGAGGATATCGAAATCTAGGTTAAGCTATTTGAATCATATTTACAATTAAAACACCCAAACAATGGTTTGTTGTCAAATTTTTTGGTTTTCCATATCTTGTCCCAGTCTGTATCACAGTCACAGAACGATATTTTTTCCCCTTCCGTCTCTAGGAAAACTCACTGCAGGGTTCGGGTTATGGAGTGCCATACCAAACACCCACAGCTGGCGGGACCAACATCTCCAGTAACATTTACATATGCCAACGCTTAATTCGCAAGTGGTGAGGCAATAAGCTAATGAGGCTAAGGGTTTGTGAAATATCTATGATGCCTTATATGAAGACTATCATCTAAGCAAGTCTAGCTATATGTATGGCGTTAAGTCACTGCTTGAAGAAAGGCTCCTTTAGTATTGTATTTGGTAAATACATGTATTAGTATTTCCATCATATTGGAAAATACATAGACCAACGCTTAGAGTCTAAATATATATTATTTTGATAGTAACAAAAAATCTATTTAAAATGAAAAGGAGCCCCAGGGAGACACGAGATTCAGTCCGGCCAGCCATGGCAGTTAGATATGTTTACTTTGTAACCCGACCCCCAAAGTGAGTTAGGTTTCTTGCAGATGTTAACAGACCCTGGACCTGAGGAGATCTAGACTTGCTTCATTTAAGGCTTTAGCATTGCAGAGAGGGCTTTGCAGTAGGGAAAATAATGGGGTTCAGGGACTGTGAGACAGACTAAGCAGTAAGGAAAATAATGTGGTTCAGAGACTGTGAGACAGACTAGAAAATGCATGGCAACCTACACTTCATTGTGACTATGATTAAGGCATCATTTTAAAACACAAGGGTTATTTCCTTTGAGTTACCTGACAGGCTTTCGGTGTCAAATTATTTGGAACTCCGGCCAAAGGTGATGTTATGCTGTCTGGAAATATGGCCTTTTTGCAATGCTTTGGTTGCACATAATGATAAGTGATTGTTGTACATATGATGATTTTGAAGGATAATCTCAGCTGACTAATACTTTGCACGTGTTTCCCCCCACTCTTTCCATACCCGTTAAAGTTAATTTTCCATATATATGTCAGAAGAAAATACTGTAAAGTAATGGGATGGCTGAATTTGGCCACCTGAGGTAGTGACCACAGCACTCTGGTTACACTGCATTCAGAGAGGACAGAGCTTGGCAAGATACCAATAAATATGCTTGTCATTTAAACCTTTATCTGATGTTTGTGGAATGTGATTTTATAATTGAAGATGCTTCCTGCACATGTAGCCCCAATATAGATGTTGTTAGTCTGTGAATCTTCCAAATTACTTCGTCTCTTTTTTTCAATTGAAATTAAGATCTTTGCCTTTTATCAAAATAATATAATTTCAGTCTTAATGTGCCTATGTCGGGAATCAAACACCGGTTTATGACCTGACAGGCGAACGCTTTAACCACGAGCGTACCCCATCATTCATTGATACTGTTAAAGAATATACAAGGGTACATTTATTATTCATTCAAGATCGAACCCAGTTTTGTCACCATATATCCTTCAGTTTTTATGTTAGTGACATGATCTGCACACTGATACTTTAAAAAGAAAAGAGGAATATAAATAATGATTGCTTGCGATCTTTATCCAATTTAGTTTTCCATTTATCTAGTAATTTTCAGTTTCTATTTCCTGGAAATTCTGTACGAAGGTACTTTTAACAGTTTCACCCAATAACAGTAAAGCATACAGATAATACGTTTCGGTACTTTGATAGAAGAATAAGTACACATTATATTCCATGATATTGAGACACCAAAATAATTAACATAATTATATAATGTATAACAAATTAGACAGCAAAAAGCAAAAGCAAAAAAGAAAACGCATGAGCAACATAAATGCTGGCAGGTTGTAAGATTTCAATAGTTATCGAAACTGCTTAGTTATTAGCTAATTGCAATCACTACAAATTTCTATAGTCTACACAAGAGATGGAAACAAAATAGGTCTATTATGAAAATTATGAGCTAATTGTAATCACTGCAATTTTCTATAGTCTACCCAAGAGATGGAAACAAAATATGTCTACAGTATATTTCGTCGGGTAACTGAAATTTGAGAAAACGTCCGTTTGGGATAATACCTGTATTCCGAATCAAAAAGAGGTCATACCAAGTATGTGCATTCACACATTTACAACAGTAATTTACACTGGGAATCATTAATACATTGTAATCATCTTTTATGAAAGTATAGATAAGGAAATTGTTCTGTTATGATCAGTCGGATAACCCATACAAGTGAGCACTAAAATTAGGGACCTACCGGTTCATGTCTGTGTGAACACATCTGTCTGTGTTTTATTGTAATTAGCAGTGTCTGTATAGCATATATAAGAAGTGTACCTAAGGTCAGTTTTATAAACTGTTATGTAATTTCCATTACAAAAAGTATAAACGATATTACCTACTGGTCAGAAAGACTTATCAGTACCCCAACACCGACCCACCGCCACCACCCCACCCTAGGCCTACCCCATGCCACACCCTCTCCCTCGCACACACACACACACTCCCTAACATACATATCGCTCTGGCCAATAGACCCGATATTTGAACCTTTTAAACAGACACCATGTGTATGTCAAGAAAGACACGCACGTTATTAGTGGTGCTCATGGGTATCACTTCACCATGTGTTTCTAATTATCTCAGTGCATGATGGCGTGGTCGTACGCGCTAACGAACCCTATGTGACAGTTACATTACAGAACCATTGAAATACATGTTAAAGTAGTGCTAATCATGTAACACTATATTTACCCATTTCCAACCATTTACGCATGTACTAAATATATGACAAATCTAACCCTGGTCACACGAGATTTCAAGGCTATTGAAATGCCTATCTTACAATCACAGCATTTACATATGTTACACATGTCAGGAAACACATGGAAACAAAGGCCAGATTTACACACCTGTGAAATACATGTAAATGCAGAGTTGAATGTTGGTTTATTTTAACACCCCTTTAAACGTGTGTAAATCTGACGGCCAGATGATACGTAGATTTCAAACGTTGTTCATATGGCCGCCGGATGAAACGAGTATTTCCTGACGTTAGTAAATTTGGGTAATACAGTCATTTTGTGTGGTGAAATTGATTTAGGTTACTCAACTTTCATGGTAACCATACAGATTATACAACGATGTAGGCAGAACAAAGTTGTTAAAGTGATACACTGGCAATACATGCTTATGATATATTAGGAATCGTATAATTGGTTCTATTTTTGCCACTTTTTCGTTTTTTCCAACTTTAATGCCATATATTTTACTGTGGGAAACTATGGGCAAAGGATGCATTCAAATGTTACAAATAATAGCGTTAAACTTACATAAATCCTTGTAACCTTTGGTTCATATAAAGACGGTGTAAAAAGATATGCTAATCCATCTGAAGATCCAGGAAGCGTCATTGCTCTGATGAACAGAACCAGTGTCAATACACATATCAGAAGCATTGTTGTGCAGACAACCTAAATAAAACAAAACAAAAAATATACTTCAGCGTTACAGCCAAAGGCACATCTAATACCAACAGGCAAAACATGATACCTTAATGGTTGAGTTGCAATATCCATGCAGACGTACCAATTTAGAAAGAAGAAGAAGTTTTACATCAAGATACATTTTATCATTTACAGAATGAACAATAAGCATGGTCCTACAAACCTTCCCAAGAACCTTGACTCCCCAAAACAAAGCAAAGAAGACTACAACTGACAAGCCAGCACAACAGCCAACCAGCTCCCACTGGAGACCTCCCATGTCGTCTATTCCGGAGGATTCAGACACCTGTAGAACTCTGTTTCTGTAAACGTAGGAGTATTGATATCATTCGTCACAATGTTTGATCCTGGTAATTCTGCTTCAGAATATACCCTTATTGATATTTCCCGTAATCAGTGCTTTAAAATTAGGATTATTAATCACTGTGTATCACATGTCACTGGCGTCCTTACTACTTTGAAGCATTGAAGCATAATGTGCTGCATGTTGAAGACAATTTTCTCTTTTGTGAAACCCACAAACATGGATATTGTCCTGACAAAGCCAGAATTAGAATCACGACGTATAGTATGACCAGAAATTATTGAGAATTTTAGGAATATTTTTAATTGGATTTCTAGTATAAACAACCTTGACCAGCTATCAAGTGCTTGGTTTCATTCAAGAGAGACAACTCCGTTAATCCTTTTTCATTAATTTGTGAAGAGTTATCCCCCTTTGTTTACTTGCTAACAGACGACATTTTCAGTGATCCTCAGTATGGATGATTTAGAGAAGAGGAAGTTGATTTTAGAGTATTATAACAAGGACATCAGATCAGCTAAAGTGATTTCAAGTAGAACAGGCATCCCTTGGTCCACTGTTTATCGTGTTTTGAAAAATATTGCAAATGGATATGGCATTGAGCACCAGGGAGGCGCAGGTAGGCCCAGAAAATTGACTGTCGGTGACAGGGGGAGGCTTGGTATTCTTGTTTCTAAAAACAAACGAAGGAGTTTAGAAAACTTAAGGCTGGATATGATTGATAGAGGAACTGTGGCTGTCTGTAAGGAGACAATTAGAACTGAGCTGCATGCAATGTGTTGGCAGAAAAGTCGAGGAATTCCATCACCGATCATGCAACCTGAACAAAAGGAGCGAAGGTTGAACTGGTGCTTACAGCATAGAAATTTTAACTGGGACTATGTGATTTTCTCGGATGTAAGTTCTGTGTGGCTGTTTCCTAATACACTGAAATTCTGGACCCAACAAACTGAAAAACCTTTGTATCAGCGCCCAAAGTACAGTCCAAAAGTTAACGTGTGGGGTGGCATATCTGTGTTAGGGGCAACGCCCCTCTGTGTATGTGAAAGGAATATACACAGTGAGCGGTTCACAGATATTCTCGAGGGACATTTACTTCCATCTGCTCACGTGTTCTATGGAAATGTTTGGATTTTCCAGCAGGACAACGGCCCAAAACATCGTTCAAAGCATTCACAGGCCTGGTTTCGGACCCAAAATATGACATTATTAGATTGGCCAAACTATAGCCTTGACCTACTTAACTTTACGTGGAAAAAAGGCTTTAATACAAGTTTTATCGGTTTTATACAAAGTTGGAACTATGTCACCCAATGTGTTTTTTAAGATATTTAATTCTCAGATTCAACCCATTTTATTATATGGATCTGAAATATGGGGTTTTCAGCGTTTTGATTGTATTGAGAGAGTGCATCTTTTAGCCTGTAAAAAGTACCTCAACGTAAGCTCAAAGACACCTAACTGCATGGTATATGGCGAATGTGGCAGATTTCCTTTGTATATCAATTCTCACATAAGATGTTTAAAATATTGGTTTAAGGTTCTAAATATGCACGAACAACGTCTGCCAAAATTAGCTTACAATATCCTTTTAAATCTGGATAATTTGGGAAAACACACTTGGGTAACTGATATCAGAAATTTATTATTTTCTCACGGTTTCGGTTTCGTATGGTAGAGCCAAACAATTAGCGATGTGAACTGGTTTATTAATGAATTTCGTGTTAGATCAATAGATATGTTCAATCAAGAATGGAAATCCACCCTATATTCAAGCTCACGATATGAATATTACAGGACCTTTAAAACGTTACTCCAGCCAGAAAAATATTTATCAATAATTACAACATATAGTTTAAGAACAATGTTCGTAAAGAATCGTTTAGGTTTGTTATCTTTAATGATTAATGAGGGTAGAAAAACCTCTGTCCAGAAAGAACGTCGATATTGTCCTTTATGTAACGTTGGAATAGAAAATGAAATTCATTTTACGCTGATATGTCCTTGTTATCACGAATTAAGACAGAAATATATACCGCAATCTTCTTGCAAAGCAGCCCCATTATGCATATATATCTTTGTTACAAACCAATAATGAAAATATTCTTGCTCAATTGTCCTTATATATAAAATATGCATTAGCTAAAAGAGATCTTCTTATAAAGCGAATTGTATACCCTTAAATATATATGTAAATATCCAGAATATTCCTTTATCACTGTAACTCTCATGTATATGGGCCAGAGGCCTTTCATACAATAAACATCTTTTGACTTTGACTTTGACCTAAATTCAATAGAAAATGTTTGGGGACTTATGAAGGAAAGTGTCAATAAGAAAAATCTGACAAATATTGCTGAAATAAGAGAAGAGGTGGTCCGATATTGGGACAGCATGGACCACGACTTTTTAACTTCTTTGATCAGTAGTATGCCCCGCCGCATTGAAGCCTGAATTGCTGCCCATGGTGACTTGACAAAATACTAACTGTTCACCTGTCTTTGAATCTGGAGTTATGTTCTGCTAATATTCACATTTAATACGTGAGTAATGAGTGAAAAGAAAAATTACAATCTTTAAGTTCTCAATAATTTCTGGTTGTACTGTATCTGCGATGATTGGATCCGGGCACTACTAAGGAAAGTAAATCTACACAGCGAATCTCAGCGGCTTGTCCCTTTTTTGTTATCATGACCTTTATGTATAACCATACACATAAGCAAATGGTGACCTCAACATTCACTCTTTCATTGTGTCACCACTGTAAACGACTTATAATGAACTGCACATAAATTATGCATTCATTTCGTTTTATACACTAACTTGACTTTAACGAAGAAGCAATATTGTGTACACATTGCATTTAATGTTTTTGGGTGACTTGTTTACAGATATACATACAATTATATCCGAACAAGACGGGGTAATGTGTAGGTATGGTCATTTTCAAATCTCTCTGCTATGTGTTTTGAGATATACCGGTGTTATTCAGTATTCCATATCCCAAACTTCATATGTGACAGACGGGACAAGCCGGAGGTTTCAAATTACAATTATGATACTAAGGAACGTAAACATTTCCCGGTTTCAAATTCCACTAACAATGCTTTCCTCCTCCAGTCAGATTTAGTACTGCTATGTGTAATGCAGTTCAGGTTTTGAGGTTTTCCATATGATGTTGATAATTTGACTGTCTTCTCCGTCTGGTCTGACCTAACTCAGGTTCATGTGTATTCAAGTTTAGATCACTTACTTAAAGTATTGTTCGGCCGGGCCAGCACTGGTACTATTGAAGCATGTTGGCGTGTTCCAAGCGTTGTTGCAGTTCGACCAGGGCAGAATGGAGGAGAACGACTGAACCACGTAGTACAGAGACCACGATGAAAACAAAGTGATTACGGGAAGGTATATGGCGGAGCAAACCATCATCCCAACGCCTATTCCTGCAACAGTATATGCAACTGACTTACATGTAGAAGAAAACTGTTTTTGTAACTTGTATTAAGAGACGTGTGGCATTAACGAATGTGATGTAAAATGAAGTCTAGCGACACTCCAGGTGTGTGTGATGGTCCCAGGTCCCATGCAGGTGTGTGTAGGGTTGATGGTACAGGCAAGTCACTTTATCGGAGTCTCCACTGCAAGACGTAACTAAATGCAACTCGACTTAGCATTCATTTAGATGTTTGGGTAAAACTGTCAATGTAGACTTGTGGGGGACATTTCACACAAATATATACGATACAATTCCCAATTTAGATGTATCCGACTTTAAAAACATAACTAAACAGTCGTATGCGTCTTACAAATAAGACAACTGATTCATAATTTAGCTAAAATAACAATCGACACTGCTGTATGCAGAGATTTCTAAATAATCCAATGGTCTCAGATTTCGTTATAACATTGTCTTCAGTATGGAATATCTATGTCAAGGGACTGTGACATGTGGGTAAATTGGAATGCCGTTACATTTATGCATGACCTGATAACAATTTAGCCCCTGACAAGTTCGCTTGATGACGGGTGCCAATAGGGAGTAGGACGCTCGCTTTTCATGAACACATCACTATTTGATAGTGATTCATCAACACATATTGATATTGTCTGAATCATACCACTGATTCAGCTTATAGCAGGATTTCGTTTGGTAAAGGAGAGTGCCTTGCCGTTCATATTTACCTCTGAACAGTGGACAAAGATTCCAGATGTGGGCTGGTCCTCTGCTACTGAATTGTCCAAGGCTCAGATCCATGTACAGGATGGGCACTCCGAGGATGAAATAGAAGGTGGAGTAGACTGTCATGAAGGCAACTAGAAAAACAATTCACAGATTTGTTTACAAATCGATTGCACGAGCAAAGACGAAACGAAAGTTGCTCTACACAAGTCTCAAGTGGATGATTTATAATCCTTGTCCCAACAGAAGCAAAATACTAAAAGCGTCAGTGATGGATGAATGTGGCATAAATATAATAATTTACCAAACAGATATGAACAGTGGATTTCTCTTTCAGTTATGGACCTAATCAGAAGCAAACACTAAACATAATACGATTTCAGTGAAATTATCAACAATTGTAATTATCAAATAATATATTTAAATATCTTTTGTATTTACCTGAATAGTTGCTGCTCAAATAGGGAAGTACAGTAAATGTTCCATAGTCAATGCTGAATGCTAGCACTGACGCAATAAATTCAACATTGGATGTCCAACGTTCCCGTTGAAACCCAGTGCAGTCATTTGTTTCAGCCTCGAGAACAAAACTAGTCACATGTCCGTGACCCGCATTCGGCAGCATCTGTGTTGACAGTGGAGGTTGGTAAGATGGTGGTGGTGGATGGAAGGTTGATGGTTGAACCGGCTCTGTTAGTTGTGATGGATGGTTTGTCTCTCTGGAGTGGTCCTCTTCACGAGTTACTCCATGATTTTGATCCTCCATTCTTCCCATCGCTATCTCAGCCATAGTGTCGTATTCACCTCAACTCAACTTTCCCTTCAGACGAACAAATGATCTACGACTTCAACTGAACAACCGTACGGCGAATGTACATGCGTCTTACATACGAGTCCACCCAGGCAAACTGGTCCCGCTACCGACAATCCGGTTAAATATAGACTAACAACGACATTTCAGGTCACATGACTGAAACTATTGCATGCCTCCCTTTTCTATGAGGTCATGTTGCATTACAATGAACAAATATACCCATATTCATTTGGTGCATTCAACATTTTCTGGTTATTTTGATGTTCTGTGACTTGAGCAAATTTGGTCGGTTATGACTATACAGAATTATGGCAAATGCATATTCGTCTTACTAATAGGACAACTGTGCTCACCAATCTGTGTCGGCGTAGTTGCTATGGAGACTACATGTGACTACCTATTGACAGTCCGGTTGTGCAACAAGCTACGTTAAAAATGGACCGTTTCATCACAAGTATCAATCGATTATATGCACTCCTTTTCCATGAGGCCATATTCCTTTACAATGAACACATATACATAAGGCGTTCATTTGAAACATTCAACATTTTACTGGTTGTTTCGCTTGTTGTTGGACATGAGCAAATAAGGTGGGTTATGTCTGAATTAAGCTTCAGATGTTATGTATTGTCATTGTTATTCAAGATAGATAGCGTGCAGGCAGGCACGTCTTGGTTAACCATGTGACACATAACGCTTCATGGACTTGCAACACAATTCCTTCCTCCTCCAGATCAAACTGACACGGTGTAATGTAACCTAAATACCTAGGGCACAGTGAAGCAAAGCATTCTGACACACCCATTTTGGCAATAATGACCAAGTTTTAACGTTTTTGAGACGTGTTACACGTAATAATATATTCTTTTGCTAAGTCTACTACTCAACCGTGTCTTCATTTGCCGAACATCCAAACTTATTATGCATGTGGTCTTTATATTTGGGCGATGGTAAACAAGCATATTAACACAGAAACACGAAGCGGCTCACAATCGGTTATCTCCCATTCTTAAGACAGTCATTCTTCAGACATCTTAAAACAACATTTACAGTCTAATGCACAACAATCGAGAAAGCTGTTACCTTTGATAGAGAAATGGAAGAACCCAGCTAAGAAAGGGAACACAACCACATTGACAATTGTATGTATATAATTCATTCATATGATATCATGTTGTCATGAATAATATGTAATGAAATTTTCATACATTGTATGTTCATCTCTATTCATATATGACAAATACAATTTGGTGGTAAATTTTATGCTCTTTTTGTAGATTTCTCGAAAGCATTTGACTCGCTCAATACAAATAAACTATGGAACCTATGGTTTGAGTAGGAAAATGAAATTCAATAAACTTTTAAGCAGTATTTATGAAAATGTAAAGGTATGTGTAAGAAATTATACCGATGTCTTAGAAACGTTTACGTTTCAAATACTGGTTAAAGGGCACACGGGATACCGAACCCAGTCAGAGCGGGTGGGCGTGCACTCAAGTGTAACGAAATCTTTCATTGGCTGGTTCATTTGTCGATACATTCAGGGCTCTTCGTGTGTGAATAGAGATGTTGGGTTTTGTAAATACATGTTCACTGTTTGTGTATAACATTTAGCAATCAACAGACATCATAACATGTCATGTGTACAAATATCACACCAACCTGTCTGTGTAATTACATAATGTGACAGAGACACGAGCCATAAACCAATGCGTTTTGTTTATGGTGTATAACCTTATAGATGTTAGGTTCAACTTACATGTGGTCAGTGATCGAAGTTGTGTATTGCATATTGTCATTAGCAGACAGGCAGGCAGACAGGCAACCACATAGGTGTCAATAAAACAGACATTGAGTTTTGTCTGTGTGAGAGGCATATCTATATCAAAGTTAGAAATTCTTACAATGAAAGTATATAGACAATTAAATCGGTAATCTACTGTCATAACATGTGAAAAGCTCGCGCCTGTGAAATATCAACAAAACATTAGAAAAATCCTCACATCGATGCCTACTCCGAGTTCTCACCGCCAGCGAAGGCTTTCCGTCTTGAAATGTCGAACGCCTCACTCGTTGACACATAGCCGAGTAGATCTAGATCCTTAACAAGGTTCTTTTATGTAACGAGTAGATTATTTACTATTTATTGTTTGTGTACACAACCAAGATTAGACTACTCCTGCTCACGACCTTATAATTCGGGCATCACGCTTCAAGCTGCGCGAACCTATTCACTGCGCATGCGCTATGAGTTGGGGGGGATTTATCGAATCGTTTGAACTCCGATTTGGCGGGTTTTTTTCATCGCGTTATTTTTTAACTTGAATTGTTGAATTTGCATTTTTGATAATTTGTTACAGTAAGTCCATACCGAAAGGTATCAGAATCTGCAAAGTTTAAGATTGTTGAACATGCCTGCACATAGATTCCCAAAAATGTGTTACAATATGATGATAGTTTATGATTAAAATGGAAAAAGTAATTGGGTGACGGACATATAAAACATTGCTGTTTAAAACTGTTGTTTTACATTTATTTTGTATTTCCACTCATGTAATACATATTTCTCCATACAATGATACATTGTTAAAAGGTAAAAACTTCAATGTCCACTTCATGCTAAACATGTTATATATTTTTTCAGCGCTCTATACATTCTCAAGAGTAATACTTCAATTTCCACTTCATGTTTAAACAGTTACATACTCATGGATGCAAACAAGGGAACATCCGAAAGTACAGGCGCCCCAATATTCCCCTTCAGAATATCACCCACAGTGCAATACTAAGCTTGTGAAGAAACCTGGAAAAGAACAGAGGAACACCAGCACCCCCAGGCGCCACCTATTCGCGTCCATGAGCATATATACAACGTTCTCTATACATTGCTGAAAGTACAAGTTTTAATTTCCGTTTCATGTTAAAACATGTTACATATACAACGTTTGCCGTATTTGGTCGAAACTACAAACATACAAATATAAGCACTAATTTCCTCTTCATGTTAAACATGTTCTTCTCCATATGGTGTCAAGAGTATAAATATCGATGTATATTGATACAGGTATATATGCCATAATAGAGATAGTTTATCTAATTGTATTAATTGTAATAATGACATGATCTATACATATCCTTAACTCAATAAATAAATTCAGGTTCTCTTATGGAATGGTGACCAGAACGCATAAAACTTGTCATTTGTACATTTTGGGAATATATGACTTGTTTAACAAGAAGACATATGGCATTTAATGAATTATTATTTATTCCTTTAAATCCAAGCAAAATATTTTTAAAATTAAATTCAATGTTACCTTCTGCTACAGTCTTAAGCCATCTAGTTAAAGCATTCCATATTTCTTTGACATAGTTATATTCACTGAAAAGGTGAACAATTGTTTCAGGTTCTTTTGAAAAGAAGGTGCACAAAGCAGTTTATTTAATGCCAAATCTATGTGAAAAGTTATTTGTAGGTACGATGTTATATAGCATTTTCATCTGTAGCCATTTTAGGTTACTACTTCTGGTACATCTGCTTCCCATCATGTATATATATTTATCATTTCGCTATCATATTTTCTTTCAAAAAGGTTCTCCCACTATTTGTGTACATATGATTTTTCTTAAGTTGGTTCTAGAAGAGAGAGATAAAAGTATCTAGTACCCTTGCCATTATTGGTAAGTTTTGATATACTAGTATTAAAATGCATTTTTGGAGAGGTGGGTAAGGGGTCTAAGTGAAAAATATGATGTTTCTTCATACATGTTTTAATAGTTGATTTCATGCTTTGATATCTAAGGACATTTATATTGATGTTAAAAATCTCCCGCATTTCATCATGTGTATAAAATTCACCTATATTTGGGTTGATCAAATTATGAACGAAGTGTATCCTTGCATTGTACCAATTTTTAATAAAACCGTATTCTTACCCACTTTAAATAAGGTATTATAACAAAGATACTGATTTAAGAAATCCGTTGCATTTAATGACCTGTACTGTTTGTTTAAATGCGAGCTATATGCAATAGTTACATCTTTCCAAAAGGTTTTCTTATGTTAGGGACAATATCATTTGTTATGTATTCAGGGTTGGCTAACCATAGTTTGTTGTGATTTGGTATGCAGTTATCAACTAGTATCCTCCATTTGCTGGCATAAAGTCTTTTTATCCATGAGAATTTCTGCGGATTAATAATATCCTTCACAATTGGAGCACTTATTCCACCACATTCAGATGGCATAGATAATGTTTCCTTTTTAACTTTTCCGGTTTAGATTTCCATATAAAACTTAAGCGCTTTTTTTTGGAATGACTTAATCACATCGTCCCGGGTTGATGGAATAGATGAAAATATTTGATTAAGTTTTGAAAGTATTAAGGATTTCAGTACTACATTTCTTCCTATAGGCAAAGTGTTCGAATTGACCATATATTCATTTCATTTCCTGTTTTCTTAAATTTTTCCTCATAATTTAATTTAATCATCTCGTCAAGGTCATTATCAAATTCAATCCCAAAAAGTTTAAACTTACTTTGTGTCCAATCTAAGTTCCAATCTTTACAAAGCTTATACCTGCATCTCTTTTTTGAGCCTGTCCAAATCAGTCTTGTCTTGACAGCATTAACTTTCAACCAGAGAATCTTGCAAAAAATGATAGGGTATTCAGCAATGCATATACACTACTTTCACTGCCATCTAAAGGAAGGGTAGTATCGTCTGCAAATTTGGCTTAGGTGAATTCTATATTTCTCTTTTCAATACCCTTTACATTTTTATTATTTCTTATAAGTATACCTAGCATTTCAGCACATAAATTAGAAATATATGGTGAAACAGGATCTCCCTGGCGACAGCCCCCGTTTACTGGGAAGAATGAACTAGCAAATTCATTTAATCCAGCCCATTCCAACTCTGCAATAGTTGGCAAATTTAGGACACTGTAGTATCGTTTATATTTCATTGAGATAATTTAAAAGCTTTTTTCTGTGAAATACATCCATTTTAGAGGCAAGAGTCTGTCTAAGTAAGCCCTGATCCGGTCTTTGGATTTCATTAAGAAGTGATAAAAGTAAGGAAGATAATGTTGTGGATGTAAACTTCTTTATCATGAAGAACACAACGTTTCGGGGTATATACTTACTCCTTCGGCAGGTGAATGAATGCTATGGGACGGGAAGCATATGTACATGAAAGTACTTGATATTTTATTTATTGTTTGTGCATGTCAGTATGTTTGAGTAATTTTGACAAGCTGTGTCTCACACTTATTCAT